CAATAGATGCAGAAAAAGCCTTTGATAAGATTCAACACCACTTCATGATAAAAGCGCTAAGAAAAGCAGGAATAGAAGGAATGTACCTCAACATTATAAATGCTATTTATGACAAACCAATAGCAAACATCATACTTACTGGGGAAAAACAGAAACCATTTCTTCCAATGTCAGGAATAAGACAAAATGTCCACTCTCCTCACTCATACTGAACATAGTCCTGGAATTCCTAGCCAGAACATTAAGGCAAGAAGAAGAAATAAAAAAGAATACAAATAGGTAAAGAAATAGTCAAAGTATCTGTATTTGCAAATGACATGATCCTATAACTCAAAGACCCAAAAAACTCCACTCCAAAATTCCTAGACATGATAAACAGCTTTAGCAATGTAGCAGGATACAAAAACGACTTACAAAAATCAGTAGCCTTTCTGTACACCAACATGAAGAAATTGGGAAAGAATATAGGAAAACAATTCCATTTACAATAGCTTCACAAAACCAAATACCTAGGAATAAACTTAACAAAGGATGTAAATGACCTGTACAAGGAGAACTACAAACTACTGAAGAAAAAAGTTGAGGAAGACTACAGTACATGGAAATATCTCTAAAGCTCATGGATTGGAAGAATCAACACAGTAAAAATGGCTACACTACCAAAAGTAACCTACATGTTCAATGAAATTCCCATTAAAATTCTAATGACAGTCATCACAGAGATTTAGAAATCTACCCTAAAGTTCATTTGGAAACACAAAAGACTACAAATAGCCAAGGCAAAACTGAGCAAAAAGAGCAATGCTACAGGAATCACAATACCTGATTTCAAACTATACTACAGAGCCATAGAAATAAAAACAGCATGGTACTGGCCCAAAAACAGATATGAAGACTAGTGGAACAGAATAGAGGACCTGGATACGAATTCACACAGCTACGCCCACCTTATTTTTGACTAAGGAGCCAAAAACATACGATGGAGGAAAAAACAGCCTCTTCAGGAAATGTTGCTGGGAAAAGTGGTTATCTACCTGCAGAAAACTGAAACTAGATCCATGCCTGTCAACCTCTACCAGTATCAACTCAAAGTGGATTAAGAACCTTAATGTCAGATCTGAAACCTTGCAGTTAGTACAGGAAAGATCAGGGAATATCCTGGAAACAATAGGTATAGATAAGGACATCCTCAGCAGAACTCCAGCAGACAAGCAACTAAGAGAAAGTGTGGACAAATGGGGCTACATGGAATTAAAAATCTTCTGCACAAAAGAAATGGTCTCTAAACTGAACAGACCACCCTCAGAGTGGTAGAAAGTATTTGCTAACTGTACATCAAAGGATGGATAACCAGAATATACAGGGAGCTCAAAAAAACTAAAGTCCCCCAAAATCAGTGAACCAGTAAAAAAGTGGGCACTCAGATAAACAAAACTTTTTCAAAGGAAGAAGTCCAAACGGCCAAAAGCACATGAAAAAATGCTCACTATCCCTGGCCATGAAGGAAATGCAAATTAAAACCACACTAATATTTTAGTTCAGACCTGTGCCAATAGCAATCATTAAAAACACCACCAACAACAAATGTTGGCGAGGATGCAGGGTAAAAGGAACCATCATACGCTGCTGGTGGGAATGTAAGCTAGCACAACCACTTTGGAAAACATTATGGAGCCCTCTTCAAAAACTAAATGTAGATCTGCCATATGATTCAGAAATACTACTCCTAGGGATAAACCTGAAAGAATGCAAGACAAGTTATTAGAAAAGCACCTGCACACCCATATTCATTGCAGCACTATTCACAATAGCCAAGTTATGCAGAGTCAAGATGCCCCGCTACCAACAAATGGATTAAGAAAATGTGGTATTTATCCACAATGGAATTTTACTCAGCCACAAAGAAGAATGAAATTTTGTCATTCTCAAGTAAATGGATGGAACTGGAGAACATCACCTTAAGTGAAGTTCACCAGGATCAGAAGGCCAAAGATCGCATGTTCTCCCTAATATGTGGACTTTAGACCTAAAAGAAATGCAGTAATACTATTGGACATGGGTCACACACTAAGGGGAGAACGCATACAGGAGGAATAAGGAAAGGGAAGGAAATCTAAAATATGAATGTGGTTGATATGTCCACTATAGAGGAGCGAATAAAGTAATCTTAAACTGGCAGAGGCCACTATGGAAAAGGGAACAGGAAGTAGTGGAGAAGTCTGGTAGAGACGAACCAATGTGGGTTTCAATACACAAGTGCATAGAAGCAAAGCTAGGAATCTCTCTGTATAGCTACTTTTAGCACAAACTAGCAAAAACGCTATGCCTTTTTATTATCTCCCATGTTTTCTCTTCAACAAAATCAGAGAAGAAGAGGGCAGAACAGGTTCTGCCTGGAAATGAGAGGGGGAAGGGGGACTAGAGGGGATGGGAAAAAAAAGGGGAGGTGGCCCAAACAATGTACACATATGTAAGTAAATATTAAAATGATTTTAAAAAAGAAAACAAACAAAAAAGGAAAAAGATTCCAAAGGAGAAGATTCATAAACCTTTAAACAAACAGACAAAAAAAAAAGAAGGAGGTGACAGCAACTGCAGAGGAAGGGAAAGAGGAGATGGCAGGTACCACCTACTTGATCAGGTTGGAAACAGCTAAGGGATCAGCTAGCCTCACCTCTGAGTCACAGCAAAAGGAAACTGTGTGCCACAAGGACAGCATGGAAGAAGACTTTGTTAAGCATTTCTCATATTACCCCGCCCATTAGATTTATTTCCAGCTGTCTTCTCCTTCAACCAATCTTCATTGGCTGGGCAGGTGTGATAGACAAACATGCTGCCCAAGGAATGTGTCAGTCCAACAGGTTTCTAGGCTCTACCCACCCTCTTCAACCTGTTGAAGTGGCTGAACTATCCAGCACAGACTGCTTGCATTTCAGGAATCTTAACTGTACTGCCATGTAAATCTTTGTCACCTCTTCCCCTCTCCCATTTCAAGCCTTAACATCCATTGAATTTGAATTACCTTTTGTTAAGGAAAGGACTAGGAGAAAAAAAAAAACACTCATCTGCAAGCAGAGCATATCTTAGTTTAGTGTGCTTTGGAATGTTTATTTTCTGCATTATGGAAAATACAGGGAAATTGCTAAACTTTGGTGAGTGTTCTAAGAGACAATAAACATTGTGCACTCAATGTAGAAGTTTTAAGGGTACTATTATGTGTGTTGTCTGGAAAGCACAATACATATCCAATTTGGGAATCTATGCAGCTATGGAGTCAGTAGAACTTATTCATTATAGCCTTCATTTTAGATCTGGCATAAAAGTAAATCTACCATATAGATTCTTGAAGTATACTAAAATTTCATATTACACAGGCACTCTCAAAAGTGCAATGGTACTGCTAGAATAAATAATTTGCTTCCTAATATTGTTTAAAGAGATAAACAACATAAAGATCCAAACACATGACTGGTTAAATATATGTCATAGAATGTAAATATTTTTACATCTAAATACAAGGGAAGGTACCCATTACTAAGCAAAGATAAAAACAAAATACTAAACTTTATACTGTGAGGCTTAGAAAGACTCTTAGGAAAAGGAAATTTTATGCTTAGAAACTCAAAAATGTTCAAATCCTGCTTTCCTTCTGCCACAATTTTTCCCATAAGGCCCTAAAGGAAAATATGTGTATTGAGTAATGGCAAATGTGAATTAAGATACTACTTTATAATTTGCTTATGCCTTGTGCAAAGCCCTCTAGTAAACTGACCTTAAGAAGTCTTCTCTTCTTACTAATCTCACAGATCCAAGGTATAGAAGAGGTGAGAGTATGATGTCACTTACCCCATGGTAGTGACCTCTTCCCCAGTCAAGATAAAGGGTGGGCCCAGAGCATGTAAAAACAACTTACACTGATAGCCTTTCTTGGTAAGATACTCTTGCCCTTCTCCCCCTTTTCTACCTCCCATTTATTTTATGCCCCCTTCCTTCTTCCACTGCCCTTTTCCCCTTCCTTTTCTAATTCCACTTTCTTCTTCTTTCTTTTTTTTCCTGTTCTGCCTTCCAGACCCATTCCTCTCCAATAATTCAAAGGCATATATTCCAATAGAAGAACTGAGACCTAGGAAATATATCAAAATGTTAATAATACTTATCTTTTGTTAAATTTTCCTTTTCCTAAGTATTCTCTACTTTTTTTTCTGTAATGATCACTATATTTTTTATTTAGGAGAAAAATGTTAGATATTTATAGCATGACACACTTTATTTGACATTTATTTAAGTTGCAATAAAAGAACATGAAAAAAGTATCAAATGATGTAATCACTTCAGCGAAAGGCAAAGTAGAACATATTACAAAGAAAACATGTTATCTTTAGTTTTCAGTTACATTATATGAGGCAACATTTTTTATAATATTGTCATGTTCAACACCTCAGTGACAAATAATAATTTCACTATGATGAAATTTACAGGCCACCATTATATAAACAAATTCACAGAAATCAAATATGATTTTGATATTCTTAAATGTATGCTAATCTTTTTTTCAAGCTGTTAAATTTCAAAATGTATTGTTCTAGTTAGTATAAGTACTGTGTTTCTATAGCAAAATAATAAAGACACAACTAGTGCAAGCAGATATAAACCCTTAGTCTTTTGGGCTGGAAAAAGAAATAAGAAAAACACTTGCATTGGTACTTCAGGAATTTTGTTTTTTGCAAGCAAAACAATTGTCTAACAACTTGTCTAACAAATTTGTCTAACAATTCTCTTTTCAAAGTTACAATTTAATAGAAACATGACAAAAGGACCTCACAAAAATCAACACTCTATAGCACCAAATGAACAACATGCTTTAGATAATTAACAGTTTATGTATTTTGAAGAATATTAAACAGGCTAAATAGAATAAACTGTTACTTAAGACACTTTTTAGAACTTTTTAAAAAAGGTCTACCAAGAAAATTTGAAAACACAAGACCATAAAGAGTAATAGTGTTCAGGTTATAGAGCAAGCTTTATTTTTCTCCAAGGGTACATGAACCTGCTTCACTTCTGCTTGCTTGAATTTTTAAGATTCTTGAAAATTCTTTTAGCTGGTCTCTTTTATTTTCGGTATTTCCTTTTTCCATAATCTTTGCCATCTTGATAGTAGATGCCATTGACTTCTCCTGTATAGTAATAGATTGATTTCAAGATGACATTATCATGTAAAATTTGACCAATTTCAAAGTCCTCATCAAGAATAGCATCTTCTTGTGGTTCCAGCTTTCCAATCTTAGGAATCTCAGGAGGACTAAAGAAATTGAAGAATGATGCATTAGGAACCACTCTTGGCTGGATTTCAATTTCTCCAGTAGCAGTTGTGGGGTTCTGGGTGGTTGTCACAGTAACATCCTTTCCTGTTCTCCAATCTATATTGCAACCTTTGCAATCTTCAATTTCCCATCCCCAAGAAAAGAAGGGATCATTGTGATCTGGTTTTGACTTTATTATGTATGTCTTCATCAGGAGCTCATTTCTGAAGTAAGGATTGGGTAGAAAATGAAATTCAAAGGTGTAACTTATGGGCTGGCCAGGTTTTGAGAACTTCAGGCTAACATCCGACAAGAACTTCAGAATGGGCTCATCACACTTTTGAATCATAGGCCCAAGCTTGTCAACATTCTTCAAAACTGTAAGCCAGTAGTCAGGAATGCCTTTAGGATCTTCTCTTTTAGCTTTTCCTTTCCGAGCTCTTTTAAGATTTACTCTTTCTTTAGGTCTTGTCTCAGGAACTCTTTTATGAGCTTCTCTTGCCTTACACTCTATTACTGCAACCCTTGCCTTACACTCTATTTCTTTAGGCTCTTCTTTATTGTCTGTCATTGTGTGTGGGGGTTCTTTAAGACCTTCTTCTGGAGTTGCTTCCACACAATCTATAGAATCTGCTTTGTTTTCAGCCTTTACCTCACAAATTTCTTTAGGAACTTCTTCTCCTTCAGCCTTTAAATCTGGGATTTTTTTAGGAACTTCTTCAACCTGAACCTCGGATTTTTCTTTAGCGTTTTCTTCTTCCTCACCCTCCAAGGGAGGCATTTCACTGGGGATGTCATCCTGCACCTCCTCATCACTGCTGAAGTCCTCATCTTCTGAATTCCATTCGCATTCTTCTTCTGTAGGCTCGTATTCTGCATTGATGATTTGAAATCGCCTGTCATATAAAGGCTTATTTAGTTCAGCATACTTTCTTTCAAGATCATGAATAGCTTTTAAGAACAGGGCATCTACCTTGTCACATTCATCTTGAATATTTCTGAGCGCCTGCACCCGATTTCTAACTGCCTGTGGCAGCCTACCCACGAAATTAGTACCCGACGGAGCACGCCGTGCCCTTTGGGAAGGCTCAGGTGCCCTCTTCTTTTTGTATAAGCGGCTGCGGCTGCTGCTGCTACTGCTGTTGCTGTTGCTGCTGCCGCTGCTGCTGCAACTATTGCTGCTGCTAGAGCTACTGGTGTCAGATTCTTCCCCAGAATCACTAGCGAAGCTAGTCATCTCCTCTTCAGCAATCCCCTGGGCGGCAGGCTCCGTGACCATTTTAAGATCCGCTTCTGCCATGTTGCAAGCCTGCAAAACTCGTAAAAGACCGCGCGCCCGGCCGGAGGTGGGCAGAAAATGACTCACGGATGCTCGGGTGGCGTCGGCGGAGGCCGGGGTTGCGGAGGTGGCAGCGACAACAGCCACAGCAGCGCTGAACCGGCAGGGCTTCAGCGGTGGCGTTGAAGGTAGCAGCAGCGGAGGAGGCGTGGGGGAGAGACGCCGTGGCAAGGCCTCTGCTGGCTGCAGCTGAGGCAGACAGAGGCGTACTGCAGAGGAATGGCGCAGTATGAAACCCAGAGAACTCTTCTCCGTTTAGATCGAGAACCCCCTTTCTGGCAGTAGGACCTCCCGTTAATTTCGTTCCCAGTGTGCTTTTAGTTCACTTCTCATTTGCTGGGCAAGCTCGTTTGACAAGCCCTAAACCCAATGAATGGCAAAACGCAACGTTTTCCCCCCCTCCCTCTTACCGACTCCTCCCACCTTCCCAGACGCTCTTTGGTGGCTGAGGCACACACCCTTGGAATATCAGTCCCCTCCCTTCAATATTCTATATAGTTTTATAATTTAAAAAAAAATACAAGGGTAGACACGAGGTAAAAATACCAGTCACAGTTCCTAACAAGGGAAGAAGAGGAGTATCTTTTCTCAACTTCCCATTCCGAAATCCTGTTTGGTTGGTCACGGTCTCGACAAACGTTTTAAAAAATATTTGTATGAAATCGCTCTAAATGGCATCGTTGGAGAGTGTGACTACGGATACTTAAAGAAAAACGAACACTATTTTCTCTAAATATTCTATGAGCATGTATTTTTACAGTGGTAAAAAGTGGGGAGTCGTTTATTGGCGGGGGGGGAGGGGCTAGACAGCAGGCATATTGCATTCCACGTAGCTGATTTAGTAAATGCTGTCTGATGTTTGGCAAGCCTGGTTTATATCCATCCACAAGGTTTACGAACCCATGTTTCCGTGAGTCAGTTACATCATTTTTATTACATTTCTGTATTTAAGCTGGCATATTGTATACCCCAATTTTGCTGCAGAATTGCCACGTAGCCTTTTTCAGTGCTTGTAACAAGGTTTTATATAAAACGAAGGGACATTCAAATGTTAGGTACCTTTAGTAAAAAGCAGACGATTTATTTCAGACTTTTGTGCAGCAGGTTTCAATTCCACGAACTGCAGGATGGGAGGGGGATTTTGTGCTAATGAAAGTGCATCCTCTGTCAGTGTATGAGATGTCATCTGCCACCAATATCCTTATTATTGTTAAAATTTTATCCATATTAAATAAAGATTTATACGTTCCGAAAATATGTGAATAAACTTTTACAAAATTAAGTTTAAAAACATATTTATTATTTTTATTTACAGGATTCCTTTCTGCTACAGAACAACTCCCTTGGTACAACCCGTGTTTACTTTTCATTGAAAGGTAAGGAACATATTTAGCTCATTTTTGTGAATGACAAGAATTGCCCATCAGAATTTAAATAATCTCTTTTAGAGATTTAATTGGAAGACATCTTGCTATTTTTAAAGAAGCACAGAAATCCAGAGGTGATTTGGCATACAAATGTGGAAAATAACCTAAAGACATTTCCTATGTAAACTTAGTCATGAACTACAAGTAGTCTATTAAAATACGAAATGTTATTAATTTAAAATAAAATATTAAAATTAGATTAACCTTTACACTGATTTCATTATAGAATTTCTGCTTTGTCATTTAGTCACATATTTTTAAAAGTTAGGCAAGACTTTTTGAATTTGTAAATAAGTTTACTTTTATTGTTTATCTCTCAAAGCTCATTGTAAAGATAAAATTTCAACGTAGGAAATTCTAATGATAGCAAAAAACACCCAATCTTAACAACCATATATTAATCACTGTTAAAATTTTGATGCATTTTCTTCCAGAAATTTTCTTGTGTATATTTAAATTTGCCAGTATGTGGGTATTGCTTAATCTATGTGATATCATATTGTTTTGTAATTTGCTAATTTAACATTAATTAATTTTAGCTATGTTTTTGTGATAAATGAGCAATATCTTATTTTTAAATAGAAAATAGACAAATGTTCTTTAGAAATAATTACCTTAATTTATTTACCCAGATTGCACATCATCTTTCCTACATACACATTCTTTTCCTGTATTAAAAAAATTGGCCGTGTATGCCTAGATTATGTATTTTTATGCATTTGAGAATATTAGTATAGGATAAATTTCTACAAATGAGGATGCTGGACTAAATTGCATGCTCATTTTATTATTTTATACAGAATGCCAAGATCTCTCCATAAAGGTTATCACAATTTGCAATACATTAAGGGTTCATTTATTCATAATTCTATTAATATATGTTTGTGCCCATTGTGTGCCAGACACATTGGTAGAGGAAGGCAGTACAATGGTAAATAAAGTATATTAGATGTAAATTCTTTCACTTCACAATTTTAATCAAAACATAATACTGTATAAGCAATGATTAACACCAACAGGGTTAAACCATAAATATTGTTCAGTAATTTATTTTCAGTTAAAATGATGGGCATATTTATAATGGATGTTCTTAAATTTCTATAGTGTCTTATAATACTTTAATGATTTAATTTACAAGTTAAGCTTTGTAACACCAAGAATTAGTATTTTTGAAGTAACAATGAGTTAGGGATGTAGATTTTTGTTTGATTTGCAGTGCTAGGGATAGAAACTATGGCCTTATACATGCAGCACAAATGCTCTACATTGAGCTACACTCTTATCCCTAGATTTTTAACAAAATTGTTTTTATTATCTAGTTAATTCTTAGAAACCATTTATTTGATAATCATTCTGGCTTTTTATATTTTTCTTTTTCTTTATTATTATTTTAATTTTTTTATTATTCTTGTATTAGGGTTACAATGTGAAGTTTACAAAAGTTTTACAATGTATCATAGTTGAATTCATCCCCTCCACCATTCTCCTTTATGTCCCCTCCCCTATTCCTGAAATAGTTTCAACAGGTCTCATTTTTCTATTTACAAACATATGTACAGAATATTTCCACCATATTCAGTATATGCTTATTTTAAATGCCTTTTTCACCATATTAACTGAATTGATTGTGTCTAGTTCTAAATTATTTTTTCTGATCTTTTGGATATACTTTTTCTGTAAACAACTATTGAGGCAGTTTTTTGTTTCTTTGGGTTTTTTTATTTGTTTGTTTTGTGTTGTTTGAGACAGGGTCTCCCTATGTAGATATGTAGCCCATGCTGGCCTCAAACTCCTTAGTCTCAATAACAAGGTAGCTTTAATACAACTTTATATATTTTTTAATGGTACTTTTTTTCTTTATTAATTTATTCATATGTGCATACATTGTTTGGGCCATTTCTCCCCTCTGCCCCCTGCCTCCCCCCTCCCTGGCCCCTCACTTCCAGGCAGAACCTGTTCTACCCTTGTCTCCAACTTTCTTGAAGAGTGGACATAAGCAGTAATAAGAAAGACATAGCGTTTTTGCTAGTTGAGATAAGGATATCTATACAGAGATTCCTAACATTGCTTCTATGCACATGTGTATTACAACCCGAATTGGTTCATCTCTACCAGACCTCTTCACTACTTCCCAGTCACCTTCCCATCTTGACCTCTGTTGTTTTAAGCTTACTATATTAGCTCCTCTGCAGTGGGCACATCAAACACTTTCAACTTTTGAGTTTCCTACCTTTCCCTATTCTTCCTGTATGTGTTCTCCCCTTAGCTTGTCACTCAAGTCTAATAATATTACTGCATTTGTTTTAGATCTAAAGTCTGCTTATGAGGGAAAAAACATAAAATCTTTGGTTTTCTGAGCCTGGCTAACTTCACTTAAGATGATGTTCTCAAGTTCCATCCATTTACTTGCAAATGATAAGATTTCATTCTTCTTCATGGCTGAGTAAAATTCCAATGTGTATAAATACCACATTTTCTTAATTCGTCAGTAGTGGGTCATCTTGGCTGTTTCCATAACTTGGCTATTGTGACTAGTGCTGCAATAAACATGGGTATGCAGGTGCCTCTGGAGTAACCTGAGTCGCATTCCTTTGGGTATATCCCTAGGAGTGGGATTGCTGGATCATATGGCAGATCTATGCTTAGATTTTTAAGAACCCTCCATATTGTTTTCCAGAGTGGTTGCACTAGCTTGTATTCCTACCAGCAGTGTATGAGGGTCCTCAACCAACATTTGTTGTTGGTGGTGTTTTTGATGATAGCTATTCTGGCATGTCTGAGGTAAAATCTTAGTGTGGTTTTGACTTGCATTTCCTTTATGACCAGAGATGGTGAGCATTTTTTCATGTGTTTTTTGGCCATTAAAATGGTACATTTTGATTGATAAAAGTCACACAGTAAATGAAATGCAGAGAACAAATTAAAAATAACTCAAGATTCACCAAGGTAATTACTATTCACATTTTTAATAAGTATCTCCCAAATAATTTCTCAATATGATGTATTTATATTCCTTAAATTAGTGATAAGATTGAATGTGTTTTCTTAGGTATATTGTCCATTTGAGACTTCTGTATTTATGACCTTTGTTTCTTTCCTAATGAATTTAGAAGGTAGTTAATCAATGTTGAAGTCCTGAAGGTAAAATGACTTTGGCCTTGATTTAAGGCGACTATGATTCCTTTAGAAAATACCTCTGTTATGACTAATGATTATGAGCAAATGGGACTTACTTACAGTTTTCATTCTAAAGGTATCTGCTTAGATTTTCTTTTTTGCATTATTTTCAAGGGTTACTTCTGGGAATGTCTGGAGAATGAAAATAGAAAAAAACTTATGAAAAAGTAATGTTAATAAACTATTGTGATTTTCAATTTGAAAGTATTTTTCCCTAGCAACACACCATAAAAGTAAGCAACTTTTTCCAGTTATAGTACTGTACTTTTGTTGTATATATTCTGCCTTAGATATCTTGTAATATGCTTTTATATTTGTAACATTTTTGTCTATTATTTAATATTTCCTTCGAAAAAAATAAGAGTTCTTTATATTAAATTTAATTTATGTTATACCATATATTTCCTACTGTGAATATATTTATAAATAGGAGGCCTACTATGTCATATGTTTATTTTTCATAATGTTATATATACATTTCTTGAACACTGATGTGTTCTTTGTTCCATTATTTCTTGATAGTTTACATGAGATAGTGCTTAACACAAAATCTGTTATTATACACAGGTTGAACATAGCTCTTGGACTCGGTTTATACCTTCCCTGATGTGAATATATGTAGTCTCTTCTATAACCCACCCCAACA